CCGAGTGATCCATTGTCTTCGATGCAGAAAATTTTCTTCAAAAATTGTGTGTCAGTCCACCGTGGTTATTGTGACCGCAATTCATCCCACTGTAGGTTTTTGGTATTCGGTGCGGTGCTGTCCATCGGATAGTTGTGAATGTGTACTTATTGTTACCGGCGGACAACAAATAATAAAGAATAATCTACATTGATAACTGTATCGCTTCCAGAGCCATACTCGCAACGAACAGTTTTCAGTTACCAAGTCACTTTCAGCTGCAAACAATCTTTTTCAGTCGTTTCCGTCCTACTGGGAGCAATAAATCCTTAAACAACCTTGATTCTAGAACACGAAATCGGACAAGCTCATCCCTTGAAGTGCACAGCTAGTCTTGAATTAGCACAGACAATCAATCATCCGTACAATACTTTGATTTCTTGCTGGCATAGATACGCAAGTCAAGTTTATGGACTTGGAGGCATAGAAAATTAGGAAACTGGGACAAATTTGAGGTTGAAATAGCCCCATCAAGTATTGGCTCGCCACGAAATGGGCGAAAGCAGTCCCGGGATATTTGAGAATTCTCAGCAAGTTTATGAGCAGGGGGAGCACTGAACCTCCTGCTGGCCAAGAGCGAATTTTTCCCACGCTGAGTATCCCTACCTAGATGGTGAAGTTAAGAAACAAATTTAGTGGCTCAGTTTGTTCTTACATCAGTCCCCTAATCATTCAATGCTAACTTGACCCCTAGAACATCAGGGACCATCGAATGTGGGGCCATGACTAGTTGGAAGTATCATACGTCTCAGTAGCAAGCGGTGTCCGGGAAAAGACAACATCTAGATGGAAATATTCAAATCAAGTTTCTGAACTGCTCTGGACCTCCTTCAGTTTAGTCGTTCGGCCGGTTACTGAGAGCCCACAGTTGTGTACTTCCAGTCGTGGTTTGGTGAACAGGTAAACAAATACTCAGACACAGCGCATACTAATAGCTCGGGAGAACAGTGAGTACAATCAAACTGGATGTAATTACAGATAAGGAACAGGTGGATCGATAAGCCTGTTGTGATGCAAAGGAATTCGTCGAAAAATTACTCCCGAATATCGATAACTGATTGGTTGTTCATGGGAACGCATTGTTCAACCCATGTGGGGTAAACTATCGGGTGAGTAATTAATTATTCTAAGCTGTGAGGCACTGATAAGTGAGGGACGCGGCAAAAATTTCGCAGAATATCACATTTAGAAATAAGTCTAGAGGATTGGGTTGGGACAAGACAAAAGCTCTGCGGAAGTCTTGGATTAGTGTATTCCACATAATAGGATGTACGCAATAACTGACACCTTAATGAGGCCACCAAACAACACCGCCGGACAGAAGCGGAAATAATCACCGTGCCACAATTTATCGGAAACAGGTTGAACGTGCTCAGATAGTTAGTGATTGTAGATCGACATGACATGGAGTGTGGTTCGTCCGAAATACCAAGGGCTTATAAGGGCGTGGCGAGGCACTTATTACTAAACAGAATGTGAGGAACTGAATGGAAAGTCTAGATATTTCGTTACATTTAGAATAATCGATTTGAAGATTAACGAATCATCTTATTTGGTAAAACGCTACTCTACCCCCGACTCAGTTTGAACAAAACAAAGTGAACGACAGAGTTGCATACAAACATGTCTGCCGCAATACGTGTAAATTGGAGCACACACAACGTTTGTGAAACTACAAGGCATTCTGGCCAATCAATAAAAACAAGACCGTCTCAGAGTGCTTCATGGGCACACGGCACGTGCTTGGATCAATAAATGAATTTACTCCAGTCCATGTGATTAGCTGTGTTGTATTATGATCTACAGGAGAACGGATGGGGACAGTGATGTTAACGGAACTGTAATAAAAATCAGTAGTAAAGTTGAACCGACATTCTCAAATCTGCCTCAGCACACGCCACAGCTAGCTGAAACCATGATTTTCAGATACGTTCTCAATACAGGGCATGTCCAACCATCTATCTTGATGAGGTGCTATATGCATTTTGTTCGTTCTCGTTCATCACATTTAAAACCACAGAAAACGGTCCATCTGAGGCGATGAGAGTCTCTCGATTAGATTGGAAATGGTTCCTGCAGGGGGACGATTTAGGTTCACCCTCAGGTGCTCACGTAATAATACTATTAACAATCATAGTAATAGTATATAAAGACTACTGATGCTTGAGGAGTCTGTTTGGACAGTCATGTCACTCGGGACCGATAAACAACTTCAGCGTTCAGTGACCACGCATACCTTAGAACAGGGTGTTAAAGAACATATTATCCATCTAGGAGGTAAGGTAGGTTATAAAATGAACGATATTAGAAGGTGAGAAGCTCTCACATAGGTTGAAGTCTCCCAAGATGGTATACCTTGCGCCGTCTACAGGGAATATCATAAGACAGTACTGGAGGAATTGGTATGCTGTTGACACAGCTGAGTCGATAAAACGGACCAGACAACGCCATTTTCACTCTCCTATCCAAGGTGCTTGAAGCTGAACAGGTTCCTCACATCGTAAGCTAAAGACAAGAAACCTGCGGTTAGAATAGCATTTTGTTTCTAAACGATGTATGCAGTTCCGGGGTTCAGAACAAAGTACTTCTGCAAAAAGACATAAATTTATCTTCACAATGATTTCAAAGGCCATGTGATGCTGTCTTATCATAGCTGGAGTGTGAAGTTTCCAGCCATCTGTTTCATTTCCCCCAAACTAGGAGGGGAGACCCTGGTACGGTTGAGGTACTGTCATTTGAATGGCATCAAACCTATTCACCAAGCTGTCGATACACGAACTCATTATTGCGAGGGAACAGAAAAGGCAATCGCAACGGACCACTGAATGTGTTGAGCAATTATTCATGCTGCTATTCACCTAAGAAACCCACCGATAATTCTAACACGGACGCTCATCCAGCCTTCGACTAAGTTCAAACGGACTTTCCCTGATCCGTCCCGATATACTCCGAAAGTTGGTAATGTGTCGAAATATTGGTAGCTCAGGTGAGTTAACTCAATATTGATCAGGTGGCTGTTGATGCGTTCGCCGAGCTTGGCTGTTGGCCTGCAAACGTTTCGGACCATACGAGGAGACATCGTCTGTGCGCATCATCGTCAACTGCGCACTGATGATGCCTCCTCGTATGATGAGGAAACATCTGCAAGCCCATTGCCAATCTCGGCGAACAGATCAACAGCCACCTGATCAACAACCAGTTGCTCGGAAAGTTTCTAACTCTCATCACATCCAACCGGGATTCAGCTGACTAGCATCTAAATGAAAGCGATTCGTGAACTGCGTCCACCTTGCGTTCAAGTATAACATTAGGTTGAAAGAAATTCTGGAACTACACCTTCCTGTTGAACCTGAATAGTAGCTAAACCGGTGATGGGCTGTCAAAGAGCTCTCACCAAACTCATGGAAAAATTTAATGCGTAGCCCGAAAATCGTACCGACTGAAACATGAGACGATCTGCACGTTTGGTTGAAGAGTAACAACATACCTAGGAGAATTTGCCGTCAGATGTGCTGCACGTCTGGTTGAGGAATAACAACATACCTAGGAGAATCTGCCGCCGAGACCGAACTGGTGTGCACATGAGTGCATTTCACTCATTATTATTCAGTTATTGAGCGATCAAAAGAAGATAAACCAATTAAATTCAGGGTTTGCCATCCGTGATCATTGTTTTTTCCGAAATCAACTGGGCTTTGGAATAGGGATTGCTTGAACACACAGAGTTTCGAACAAATCCAGCTATCTAGTTCATGTATCTACAAGGTGTCCAAAAAAAACCACCGTGCTGCAAAATACCACAGAGGGCGGACAAGTACAACCTTACGACCAACCTTACGACTATTTGGCAGGTTGAATGAAGCTCTACAACTTTTCAAGATGGAGCCAACTACTTCCAAGTAGTGGTCAGGTTGCTGGTAGCAACAATCATTGTTAACCCACCCTATGAACCACATTGCTTTAAGAATGAACGCAATTGTTCCATTGAAATTTACGTCGTGAAGGTTATCACAACTTGCTGCCTCAGTTCAGTCTGAACCGTTGGCTGGTAGCACGCACATCGATTGTTTTCCTTGTCTTGTTATTGATTTGTGCGTTGTATGGGTCACCTCAGTCGTTTTTTGGTTTCGCACCAACCACAGTGTCCAAAGTCCTGCAATCAACTTTAACTCGGAGTTAGCAAAAGGCAAACAGTAACTGATCTTTGTTTTCATGCGACGCGTTACAAAATTAAAATACAATCCACGGGAAAACACTTAGTAAAGATAATCTGCACGGTATTCATTCATCTGGAGATATGGCTTTGTTCGGTACCGACTGTGGTCGCAAGACGAGTTATATCGAAAGTCTGGCGGACAAACAGAGTTTCGAACGACCGTATTAAGTTCATATTCTGTTCCTGTTCACACCACTCTCGCTTGCACGATCGTGCCACTGTTCTGGCCTACTTATTCTGGAGGGTCCACACCCAAGAGAAGCACTGGACTCGAGTTTCGCTCTTACTAGAGCTCGTCAGCAGCACATATCCAATGACCGTGCCGGGATTTGAACCCCGGAGATCTGACATGCGAGGTGAGTGTGAAACCACTACTCCACCAACGCACGTTGGGCGCGACGCATGTGAATTTTCACGTCTGAACAGGCCAACGCGTTCACACTTGAGCGATGTGATCCGTGTGCCCAACTCATCGAACGACGACCCAGCAACTGTCCTGGTTATGACGATCGATTTACACGCCAGCCAGGACTTCCCGGTCAGGTAGCGTGGCACACACTTGAAAACCCACTGGGCAACATTTTAGTTGAAGCTTTGGGGTTTTGCGGGATATATATTTTGGTCATAGTCACACCACTCTCGTTTGAACGGCAAAACCCCAACTGAGACCGTAAGCCTTGTTGATATGGCAGTCTGAGTTTTTCCGAACTCACCAATTACTTGTGTCTTCATCGGACTAAACACGTTCTAGAGTGATCCGGCAGTCAATCAGTAATCCCAGAATTAGCCACAAGAAGGTCTTGCTGCCTGGAAGGTGTTTTTATCGTGAAAGACCTGTCAAAAGCCTATCCTCACGCTGTTCGGAGTCGACAGCTGTAACAATCATTGTTGGAGCCCATCCATTCTCTCACCAGAGTCAACAAAAGAGAAGTAGGGTAGGTCAGAACCGAAAGAACGGAACTCAAAGTCAGACTGCATCTTGGCTTAGATAAAATTTCCACGTGCCCAAAATAGCCCGTGCTTAACGTTTTCCTAGAAACCCCATCACTAGAAAACTGAGTATAAGAAGTCCTTTCTTGCCAACAAATGCAGAAGATACAGAGTTCCTGAAACCGTAATCCCAAGTATTTTATTCCATCACTTCGTTCCAGTGCGAAGCGGCAGAATTCGTGATATTGCCAAGACATCCAACGATCAATAAGCTACTTTGAGAAGTTGCTGGAGTATCCTACCAAAATAGGCATTTGGGCAAATCTGTTTTGTTGTGAAGGTGATTCTTAAAGGCATTTCCTAACCACATATGGCTCGCCACGGTGGTGCACGTCAGACGAGAAGCGACCTCAGTGATTCATCCAGCTTGTCTACTTAGAAAAAATTCATCTCACATTACAGTCACTTCTGTGTAGTCTACTTTCGGTTGGTGTTTGTTGCCAGAATGTCTGAAACCAGGACAGCTTCGGACGTCATAGCAACTAGACTAGTGTTGTGTCCAGCCCTAACTCCACAAGAACATTAGCGATTTCAGTACGTCGCAAGTTAAGATATGAATAACCAACCTTCTCTACGTTGGTTTTATAAGATCGATCAATGACTTGTTAAAACGCGGCTTGCGACAATCTCAGACTTATGCTCAGTTCAGTTTTGAATTGTCAGTTCAGGCATTTGAACACATGTGGTCTCATCAATAGAGACCTAGTTCGAGAGGTATCTTTTCAATTGGCTCAGACACTAAACCTACTCAAGATGTTCCATCAAGGTGGCTTAAAGGTATGAGATTTTAGCCACTGCCAGAAGCATTGGAAAACACGTTTTCATGCCTCAACTTTGCATTCAGAAAGACACTAGCACTAAAATGGTCAGAAAATCATGTTTCATCCCTAAATTGACCCTCACACGTTGTGTCAGTTCTGATGTAGACATTGACCTTTCATTATTGATTTTTAGCTTGAATGACCGCGGCTCACTCTATCGATTAATCCAAACGCATGGCATAAGAACATGCCTCTCCTACATTCTATTAGAGTAGACTGTACGGACTGGCAGTCGTTAAATAACAAAACGCCTGCCGAATGCATGTCCAACAAACTTTCTCCGAGTATATTTTCTATCCCAAATTTTCGGCTTGTGCACTCAACGAGTTCGTCATAGACAAAATTGATGATGATGCTCGAACTCACACTGGTTGGATAAATCATTTTTAGCTCCAACACGGCCAAGGGCTTTAGATGAGAAGTCATGAAGTATACCGACAAACTTTGAAGATTAGCAGTTGATCTGTTTGCCGGGCTTGACGGCAGACTCGCAATATTCAATATGTGGTTGGATGGGACGATAGTCTCCTGATGACGTCGCCTCAAATGATGGCGAAACGTTTGCAAGTCGATTGCCTAGCTCGATCACCTGGTCACCTATGAACGCATGCATCCCGACTACCAACATTCCGACAAATTGCCCAACGCTGAGGATGTTCCTCTTCACATGAAGTGCTACTCTATCCACTAAGTCCAAGGAAAGGAAAATAGCTATTTTCGGTCGACGTTCTACTTGGCGTTGCCCAAGCATTTGACTCAATGTAAAGGTGTGGTCGGTGCCCTTCCCAAGCGAATGAAAGCCTGCTTGCTTCGTGCGGACTTGGGTCTCACGCGTCGGGTTTAGGCCAAGCGGTATCGGGGGCGCAACTAGCCTTATGCATGATGTTCTGTTATCAGGTCATCTTGAGGACATGCTTTGACGTGCATTCCTAAGGTCAGGTATGCATGCACATTTCCGGGCTTGTATTTAAGCGACCCCATAAAACGCCATCGCCTACTCCGTGCATGGTTCGTGTATCATTCTGCCTGACACAGTGATCAACGCGAGCAGGACCGTCAGAAACGCGCACCTAATTTGCATGGTGCTCCAGCCTTATTGATATTACCTACCCTCCTCGGTTTTGTCAGTCGCACCTGTCCTGCTACGCGTCAGTGTCACTACACATTTTGAGGTGGAAGCCTGAACAGATGATCATAATAGATATACGAACGAATTCATTAATAGGATCAACCTTGAGAGGAGTTTATCGACTAGTTCACCGTAGACCGTAATTTTTGCGTGTATGTGAAGGAATATGGGGGTCTCCTATATTAAGGTAGCTCCTACCGGAGATGGTGACGCTGATTCGAAGAGCACAAACGAGATATCCGGCTGAGTTCCAGGTGACTCTCTCGAAAGAACCAAATTAGTTTGCAAATGAGTGTGTATCCGCTAATTTCGTGCAATTTGGTTTCATGTTGAATATAAGGTTGAAGGAAACCCGGGGAATGCACCTACCTGATGAACCCCAAGAAGGACGAGACCGGTCGTGGGCTGTCGATTGATTTTCAGCAACCTTATGAGTAGTACATTACAAATATATAATGGGTAAACATGGTTTTGACCAAATCACTATGTCAGGAAACTAAATATTGCATCGTTTCGAATTTGCGTAGACCGTCCATTTCAGATGGCTAGTTCCAAATTTCGCCTTCCCACCCAGTTCCAATGACGTAACCCGATCTGCCTGATGTACTTACAGTTTGACTGGCTGGATTGCACAATAGTATGCGGTAGTTACGCTCCTGGAAACAAAGGCACTCAGTATTCGTACAATGGAATTGAATTTTCGAAAGTTATGACGTGCCCCTGATGGACTAGAACAATCGGGCGATTGAATTGAGAGTACCAGTCCGAATTCATAAGCTCCATTTAGGCATCTCAGGGTCTCAGTGATGCTGGTAAATTATCCAACGCGACTTTTCAACCAGACGCATGGTTGCTTCAGTGAACAATGAAATTTGGTGGGCTGCAAAAACATGAAGGTAGATTAAGACGGCTTTTGGTTTGAGCACACGCAACAAAATGCAACAGTTTGGCGTAGGAAAATTTACTCCACTCATGAAGATTTTGCAGCTGAGGGCATTGTGCGGATAGTGGTCACCGGAAACAAACATCCAAATTTGAAACCGCGAAAACGCACAAGTTCGCCATTTTCCGATTATCGATCGGGTCATTTTTTATTTTGACTAATAGCCAACAACAGTACCTTTCTTCCTCGCCGGATGTTTTGGGCTCGAATTCAGACAGACCGGTAATTCCCCCAAATGAATGGAACACTAGATTCCTTGGGGAAGAAATCACCCACGTTCAAAATAGGGATGAAATTTATCCGCAGATTGAAAGAAGATGGAAATCAGTGGTGGTGAAAAAGTTCTTGTATGAGGATAGACTTTGTTGCAAGTAATCTTTTAAACTTGTCGTGAAAACCATGAGAAAGCGACATTAACTGAGTGAACCAAAATGCTCCGAACGGCGAGGTATTAATCCTTCGGTGTTTTGTTGGATACACTTTGGAACCTCAAATAGCACTCACGGCATTGATCACAAGAGCAGATTGAGTGAATGTTGTCAGGCAATCAAGTAAGGATTCTTACAACTTTAACGACCTTTGGACGTTTAGTGACTATACGGTGCGTGCGCTGCTTTGTGGACACCTTAATGAAGAGCACTTCAAAACTGCGGGCTAGTTAAGAGTTTAAGTAGCAGATATGTTTCATTTGAGCTCGGGTTGGATCGTACCTCAGAGGCAAAGCGCCGCAAGTTACCTCGAATCTGTGAACGCACATGCACACGTGAATCTGCTTGGCGCTACCGATGTTTGGTCGCAGAAACAAACCCCGATGGGGCTACCCCTCAGCAGCAGCTTAGCTCGTGTGGAAACATGGCCAGTGTTCAACTGCCGATCCGTCTTCCTTTCCAAACTGCAGTATTACTAGGCAACATTTGAGTAAACTGAATCCACGGGTTTGCAAGTTCATCAATCGGAATGAATGCCAGGGACGATGGTTAAAAATACTCGTCACTCGACAATACAGAGCACTCTTGAGAGGAGTTTATCGACTAGGAGGGAATGAATTCAATGTATCGTGTGCTGTTCAATGTAGACCGTAATTCTTATGTGTACTGGAAGGGGTCTCCCATATTAAGGAAGCCCTTACCAGAGATGTTGACGCAAATTCGAAGTGCACATTGAACCATAGCAAGCAGAGAAGCCAGGCGAAACGGTTTTACTAGTGTCCAAGTCAGCGGTGCGAGATTATTGATTGTTGACATGGTAACGAGGCGCAAACAAAGACTCGAATGAAATCGAATTTACGATACACGCATCAGCTGATAATGGCTTAAGAAACAGAAGATGAACCAGCCGCACACGGATGTTCACAAGACAGACTGTTGGATGGGAAACACGCCAGACCAAAAGCGCTTGTATATGGAATTCTGTGACCCCCAATGTATTTCTTACACCATAACCAACTGGTGTGCATTCCGTAACCTCTACTGATCTCGATGTTCAACGCCGACCTAGATACATGTACAGCTTCTATGCATAGGTATTTGCTCCTCAAGATCGTTCGAAACTGAATTCCTTCACATTCTGTGCATTCTCTAGTACATGATGAACAAAACCCTCGTGAACTGCCGTCCAACTACTGTATATGGCATTCACCATCTTTAGTCTATGTTTCGTATACCCCCCGTATTGCAAGTACCTCTCAACAACTACCGCATGATATCCACAGAGATCTGCTGCGGCTCCAACTCAATGGAACTCGTTGTGAATGAATACTTTTGACCTGCTTACAAAATCCTCATCATTAAAAAAGGCGGGTCCGAATTCTTCCGAAAATATGTGATATGTTTATGAGTCCCAACGACAAAAAAAGAGTCGAACAGTGCTCATCATCTGTACAGCACAGCAGGGTAGGAAATTCGAATTTATCGAGGCTCACCGCGAGAGTTAAGTAGTATTTCAGAACTACCGTCGTTTTTTTGTTGAGGTCAAGTTGATTGCCTGAGCGATTTACGAAATCATTATTTCTACTGCGACTGACTTAAATAGTTTCGTGAAGAGTTTGTAGTGCAGAGCATGTAGTGCTCCTCGAATGAGGGTTGATTTCACGGCAGAGAGTACGCTGGAGAAGCTCCACATCAGTTCCTTGAAAAGCATTAGTGTAACTTATTGAAACATATCATGGAAGCACAAGCAAGCTAAAGGAGGTCATCTGAGTGATGTTTAGGAGAAAGAAATAGCTTCACATCTGGTCCTTCCAATTATCTCCTGCTCATAGTCACACCACTCGTGTCTGAACGGTCGTCTTCCTATTCTAGCGTAACTTATCCGGTGAGTCCACACCAAGGGGAAGCACTGAACTCGAATTCCGCTCTTATTAGAGCTCATCAGCAGTGCATATCCAATGGCCGTGCCGGGATTCGAACCCCGGACATCTGACATGGGAGGCGAGCGTGTAAGCACCACTGCAACAACGCACTTTGGACGCATTTGAATTTTCACGTTTGAACACACCTGATCACATCAATCACACCTGAGCGATGTGATTGATGTGCCATGATCACACCTGAGCGATGTGATTGATGTGCCCGACTCGTCGAACGACGACCCAGTAACTGTCCTGGTTGTGATGATCGACTGACCCGCCAGTCAGCAAATACTCCTTCTATACTTCTGAAAAATACTCCTCGTTGCACCAAGCTGGCTTGATCTAGCTCGCTGACAACAGATCTATTTCAATCCGCCAACAAATACCTTGTGACGATCGGAGCGCTCTTACTGGTTCGATTCAGCACGTCTGTTGTCGTACCAGAAGCAAGATGCCTTTGGATTGAGGTATGTTTAATAGTGGATGTTTTCCTAAATGTTCGATCGGTTCGAACAGTTCAAATCAGATCAGTTCGAATCAGTCTTGTAGTTTTGCTTCACTGTCATGCTGCACACGACAACGTGCTCTTTTTCGGACACATTGACCTTCGATAACTGGCAGAAATTCACTGTCGTTTGTCTTTGTGTAGCAGCCCCTATGTGACTTCCAGTTTTCCTGAAGAAGATGCCTTTCGGGCCACACTTTGATCCGTACTACGACACGAGGCACGATTCATTCGGAATCACTCGCCATATTTCGATCGACATAACAAACCCTTTCTGAAAGGGAAGAATTCAAGAGAATTCAACTCACTGGTCACTCCTGTGATTTCAATCACAAGCATTATATAATAAACATCGGGTAGAAAATGTTCACGATATCATGACAACTGTCCATCACTCAACACCAAAATCATATGATCGGTGCCTAGTTACCAGTATCGATCAACCACCGGATGATTTCTTTCGCCTCGGTAGTGAAGCTCCTACCTAAGGATCAATACAGTTGGACAGTCAAGCACAGTCTCAACCGATTCGTCAGAATGTGACCTTGATTTCAGTGTGGTAACGCTAAGTTATTCATGCTTGTTTGGTGTGATGAATAAGCATTTTAGTTATATACTACTCCCGCACCACTGACGTACCGGAAGCAGACAAGTAAAGTATGACAGGTATTTCCCACACCAAATTCTCAACCCATGTGAACACCCGCTTGACGAGCAGCAACGTAAGTACGGCATTCCATCCAACAGTCCAACTGAGTCTCAGTTGTACCCACTTTAATTGACGGATAAGGGCCACCCGTTCACCCTCTGGTCTTATTCCTTTAGGTTTGCACAGAGTAGAGGGTGCTCAGTGGAATACACAGGTGCCTCAAATTGAACTTCATGTGGCATTACCCATTACATGTAATCGTCCTCAGTGAGGATGGATGACAGTTCGCCATAGCTACATTCCTTTGCATCGCACCAGCCGACAAAATCCCCGACCAGGTTTGGCCGCGCTGACCATGTTCCTTGGATTTGTGACCAAACGTTTGGGAGCTAATTGGCAATCTCGACGAACAGGTCAACAGCCATTCGATCAACCGTAGGTAAGCATACCCGAGATACCGGTACATTTCAGCAACACTGCATATGTTTCAGGAAACCCATCCCAGGTTGATATGTGTGGTGTTCACTTAATAATAAAATTGGACCCAAGGAAAAGTCTGGGAAATTAAGTAGATATCTGGAGATATCTTCATCAAAGATTGGTTTTCGGGTGCTCAGTCATTCAGCCCGTATAAACACACAGTAGCTCAACAAAGTGGCGAAATTTGCACTAAACATCTATTTATCCCTCTCAAGTCGTGTTATCTATCCTATTAGAATAAGTCTGTCACAGGACAAAGGTCACATCAACCCGGATCTGAAACCACCGAAACTAATTTGAGACAGCTGACCTCACTTGAAGCAAATGGCAGCAACGGCTGACAACTCCAGAAACTTGCGCATGGAATACCGGATCGTTCGGGGGTACACATTGAGGTACCCGCAAACGGCTTCGTGTCGCAGCTGTTTCAGATACCTGTAAGATTAAAATGAGTCCAGTATTCCACATCGGGTGTGGGCTTTTTGAAGGGTAACTTCGATGAACTGCCAAGATCTTGGTAACCCATCCACTTTGTAAGGTTCTCTTAGCTTCCTTACTGACTTACAGTACACTTCATGAAATCCCATACCCTAGTAAAGCACGTTAAATACAGTTGTGACACAGTCGCAAAAAATATTTGATATCAGTGCCGCTTTTGCTTTGGTGTAAATATAAATTGCCTCATTGGCGTGATCGGATTCAACCTATGGAGACTCGTCGCTGTATACCGCCTGACAATGGTGCCCTGCAGAAGACCCAGAACGGATCCTCTGACCTATTGACACTTTTGGATGTATGGGTGATCAGCTGAGAAACATGGGGTGTGCCAAAATGATCCGATTAACCTGTGCATCTTAAAAAGCGTTGCAAACACTCTGGAGTTATAGAAACATGGGAGAAATAGTGCGAATGGGACTTTTATCAGTAATGTGAACTAAAACTCTTGGTATGTTATTTTTACATGTTACCAGGGGAGAGACCAGAATCGCGTGTTTGGGTGGCGTTTCAATCGAAAGTCGCCCCCATACAGAGGCCGATATGCGGATGACCATCATTAAATTAAAAAACGCTTGTCAGCCTGTTGTTTGAGGACAGCCAAGTTGTCATAGTTGACAGAGTTCCCCACGGACAAAGCTGAGTGAACACCATCCACAGGCGTGCAAGCGAAGGTCAGGATTGAGGGATATCGTTCGATTACTAACAGCTTTTGTGAGTAGTTAAATTTGTAGCGCAAAGTTTTAGCGGACCGATCGACCGCTCATAAGCAAGTCGCGGGTTCGACAAAAACTAAGGGTAGCTTGGTCCAGTTTACACTGTGCCTAATTCTGTTGCGTCCTGCAACTATAACAACGAGTCTATCAGGATCACCCTACTGCGACAGAACTGAAATGTTGATGAGGCGTACGGTCAACCTCAGAAGCCGTTTTTCACCCTCGCCCCCGAAAAAAATTCAACTGAAATAGGTGGAAAAAAGTGCAAAAAGGTGGTAAATCATACAGCAAACGCCTTTCTCCTATGGAAACAGGCGACAAAAATTATCACAAACTCCTGTCAATTATCCTGGTCTATTCCCATGAGTGCCTTACTAACGCCCCTACGTACCACCAACTTCGAAACACCCGCGAGGTTACACGGGACAATTTTTTTCCAAAATAAAGGATAGGTAAGCACTTTATCTCTATCCATCGTCCATCAATTCTACATGAGGCCACCCCGGGTGAGGAAGTCTATGGATCAAATGAGACGTGAAATATTTCAGCAGGGTGTTGTTATCCAGAGACATCTTACGCCAAACTACCTGGCACACAATGGCTTATCTCTTAAAATGTTGTAACTGACCATAAAAATGAGACAGTTCACGCCCAGCACTGATAAATTATCAGACTCAGATACTCTTTTACGATGCCATCATCACTTGTTGTCAGGACTGCTATCACAGTCCACATGCGTCCAAACTCAATGTCGGATTTGACTGAATAAGGGTAAGAAGGCAGGGAGTTCGACATTATGTGCTAGACCTTTATGGGTTGTTCTCTAGTGCGACAGCGTGAAGATGTGTAGTTACGTCTTTCTTATCCAGAATGATACTGTCTTGAGATTACTGAGCCATAGCTGTGGCTACCTGAATAGATGTCTATCCGAAAAAGTTGCATATCACTTTCCGGTTCTCGCAGGCCCCACATATGAGTTGACCGACCTGACACTTAAGTTCCGCACAGATAAACATCGCATTTTGATTCTTCCGAAAACCCGTCTAGGAAATAAGTCTGGCCTGAGATAAACTGGATCGATTTGAAACAATCACCTGGTGATTGTTCTTCTTCATTTTGGGTGAAACACTGTTAGTGCGTGAGCAGCTGAACTCATTCACCTTTACATACACGAGCGGCAGCGGATAACGAAGGAAACAAGGGTTTCCCCACTTAGCAGCCCACGGCCGATTTGAGGAGAAGGAGTTGCCGCCACACGAAATGTTTCTGGTGCATTTTGCCCTGGGAACTTGGAGCAGTCTACCCTCTAGGGCGGAGGTTACATCGCAATAAACCTCCAGCTGCAACACCCTCCTGGTGTCTAGATGCCATGCCACCCAAAAAAGCACGAGGACTGAGATACTACCAGGTTGCCAGAGTCTGGAGCAGCCGAGATGCAGATACCGGGTTCGAACCACGGATGGTTTAACCACCGAGCTATGCCGAACACTCTTGAGCTCGCACACCTGGATTAATCGAGAATAGACTAGAGAAGAAACCACTACGTCAATATTCAGCCTTAGACACAGAGGGGAATTACATAAACATGTGAAAGAAGAAATCAGTCCAGGCTGCTTCCTAGGAGCAGAGGGGACAAAGTTCCAGAGCAACAAGAACTGCCATTTGTCTGTGCGAACAGTTTTGTGACGGCCGTCTATTCTGACAACGAACGAGTGGTGATCGTTACATGTTCGGCGGCTTGAACACGTCGTTTGCATTGATCACGCTGATGTTTTTCAATTGTGAAGCAATTTGGAATACATGCTTTTGCCTAAAGGGTTTCAACCCAATCAGACAATCCTGGGATGCATAGATGACCCGAGCACAACCAGACCATAAACCTGGAATTTGAGCCCGAGATCTCAACTAAAAATTGATCCGTCCAGGAAAAGCTCAGCTTTCGGTCCTATTGGAGCTCACTCGATGGAAGAATGTCGGACCGGTCACGTGACTTCCGAACCAGCTGTTGTAACCCAATGGGGAAAAATTCACAAAGAAAAGAACCATCACAGACTTTCGGGAACCGACCAGATTTTGAACTTCAGATGGATCCTGAAGTACCTTTAGATTTGAATGGGTTTCTTAGATTTCGTGGCCACAGAACATTGTAATTTTTTCAGTACTGCGAACCGATAACACACATGTTATTGATCGGGAGCACAGCACGTGATGGCTACCCGGACAACTAGAGAAACGCTCCCTGACGATTCTAGTACAGGTCATGACTCGCACTCGAAAAGGTCGCAAAACAAGTATCGGCGAAGAATCAAACGCCACAAAATATTGCGTCCAATCAGTGTATATTGAGCTGACGCTTGTAAACGGGATATGACAGCTATCTACCTGGAGTGGAATCATGCAAGTGGAGAACACGGGAATGGTACAGAAAGATGTTTCATGGTCGATTCAAAGAAGTAAAGTGGATGAGAGGATATTTGGAACGAGAGACAGTGGAAAATATAAAATGCCAAAAAGAACCTGAGAGTAAAACTGTGACGGATAAAAGAAGACAATGATATAGGTTGATCGGCACCGTAAGGAAGGATTCCTGAGATGGGTTGAGACCAGGCCAATCTAGCCAAGGCAGAGGGGAATCTAAGTGATATCTGACAGAGGTAGATTGCAACAGGATAACTGGACTAAGTGGAAGATGAGATCACAGCCTTCACAGTTCATGGGTTCTGATAGATGTTTCGAAGCATGTTGGCTCTCTTTGGGAGGACTCACGGATGGCTCCCGATTCGAAGATGATCCAGGCTGGAAAGAACCGGGTTAAAGAAAGGTAGCATAGGCTGAAATAGGCATAAGAGAACGATCGTGTAACTTTATACTGTCTCATTCAAACATCTGCTGGAACCACAGCAAACAGGAAAAAATTGTGGACGCAAAAGAATTGCACTGGTACACACGAATGTTTCCACGTTGTCAGTCATCAATATGAAAAAAAATATTCCTGCGCTGTGACTATTCGACGTCCCAATTCCAATCGCTCTACAAACAGAGAAGGAGCGTTTACATTGATAAACAAGGACGAACCGTTTCGCAACATTAGTTGTTCTCCTCTTTGACATCAAACGTACCAAAATAAAATAAATCGTTCAGCTGTAACAACCTGGTTGTCATGTTACCCGAAGGAAGCACGAGGGCTGGGATACTACCAAGTTGCCTAATGGGAGAAGTCGTGATGCGGAGGTCGGGTTTGAAGCACGGACCTTTCGGTCAGTAACGCACCAACTCGCATTACGACAGCTTTTGACTGCACCCCATATATATTCTCTTTTCCGGTGCATAACTGCAAGGCTACTCGAATAAAGCACGAGGGCAGATTGTCCGACGCCCGACAGAAGCAGTGGAAATGCCGGGGGTTGGGTTCGAATCACGAACCTTCCAGTTAGTAAGTCCGCGCCTTAACCACTGAGCATATATACGGAGAAAGCAACAACGTCAGCTTTATCTGAAACACCATAACCCCTCGCCTGATTATTATTGATACCAACTATTCCTCCACTTCAACTATTGGGCCACAAACAAAAAGTCGTTTTTAACCGTTCTAACATTAACTAAATATTCAAGCAGGCTCACTTATATGATGTCCAAAAACAAAAGCAGCTGATCGGAGAGCACACGGTAAAATAGAGGGAAACGGGTGTAGCCACTCTCCCTAGTTTGTCTGGTGGAAAGACATTAGGGAATTCATCTGCTCGCAGAAGGTGCCTATCTCAGGTAGCGATTCTCAGACCCAAACGGAATGCTGGCAGTGCAATTGGATAAGCCACAAGAAAAAAATTGCTGAGTTCAAGAGACATACAATCTCCGAAAACCCTCCCCAGGCTTGAGAGGACCCTAGGGAGTGAGGACAGGAAAACGAGGGACTCAAATTTGTGCGACAACCACTTGGATTGGTGACTGTACGTCAAGTTTGTCCCATACCATATTCTTAGAGATTTCGTGCTATTTCTGTTTGCGCCGATCACTACTAGCCCATCTTTGCAGCTGTCCATTGTGGTCAAGGCATAAACTGGCACTGAATGACTCGTTTCACACTATTTGACGCATATCAATGAAATTCAACACACAAATGGTGTGAAAAAGATTGCAGTTTGTGTGTGACACGTCTCTCAGTTCACAGGATCGTGCACATGTACACCTGAGTCACACACACAGGTCGGGAATGCTGGAAAAGTCTGTTCCTCGCCAAGTCAAAGCCCTATGCGGAACTTCAGTTCACAGATCGTGCACATGTACACCTGAGTCACACACACAGGTCGGGAATGCTGGAAAAGTCTGTTCCTCGCCAAGTCAAAGCCCTTAGCGGAACGGTCTCGAGGATACAATAACGGACAGTCAAATGATAAGAGCGGTTGGATAAACATATTTGGTTGGATGTGTCACG